GCAGGAATGAGCATTTCTCCTGTGGATATACAGTGAAGTCATTTATCCCTTAATGGTCCATTGTACATTTTATTTCAGGCTGGACATGAACTATTCCTTACTGTTTTTTTGAAACACTTTAAAATATCTTAAGATAACTTGGAAGTGTTATATATCAAATTAATTTGCTACCTAAATAACAAATAAAGTAAATATCTCTGTTTAGCTTTTCTTGTGATCACCCACATTGGGTGAGACAAAAAAGGAGTCTGTTCTAAACCTTGTCATTTGCTAACTCTATTTGAGTTAGTGAAAACTGGTACAGTGTTCTGTTTAGTTTTTGACATGTAACTTGTGACTGTACAATAAACTTGAGCATATGGTGCCACTTTTGTGTATGGGCTTTTTCCTTTCCTTCTATTATGTTGTTTTGTTTTTTAATCACATGAGCCAGCAATGATGCATTAAAAGGATAACCTCGTGGGACCAGCAGGTGACGTGGTGGTTAAGGTGCTGGACACTCCCACATAGCCGACTGCGGTTCGAGTACCGGACCTGGTGGCTTGCTTTATCACTTCCCCCCTCTCTCTCTGTATCTCTCTCTGATCAAATTAAAATAAATGAGTGAATAAATGAAATTAAATAATATTTATAAAAAAAGGATGACCTTGAAGGTATGACATACCTCTCTGAAGCTCAAATGATCAGTATTAGTTTTTTAAAAATAATTATTTATTTAATTTTACTTATTTATTCATTTATTTTAATTTGACCAGAGAAAGGGACAGAGAGAGAGAAAAAGAGAGAGAAAGAGAGAGGAAGTGAGAAAGCAAGCCACAAGTCTGAGACTCAAACCATGGTGGGCCATGTGGGAGTGTCCACACCTTAACCATCATGCCCCCTGCTGGTCCCCAGCAGTGTTAGTTTTAAAGAAAGGAAACACAAGGAAACCCTTGGAGGGGCCAGCAGGCACATACATGGCCTACTGTGATTTGAGTCTCAGACTCAAGAACGTGAAAATCATGCTGGGTGAGAATGGACAAGAGGAGATTGCAGTGTGGCTATCCCACCTGGGGGGTGATTTCTCAATTTCCCTCTGTCTCTCTCCAATGAGCACATGTACCCTACAGCAAAACCGTGAAAAATAAGTAAATAAAAACCTTAGTAAGGTAAATATTCTAAATTTAATTATACTGACCTTAATTATTTTAACCTTACCAGATTGTCTTATAAATTTTATAATTTTATAAATTAAAAGCATCTATTACTTCATTTAACAATTTTTTACACATCTGCAATTCTAGTATAAAATGCCTTTACTAATGTAAGGCAGCAGAAAAATAATACATATGCTTCATAGTTTATTCAAATGAATTCATAGGAAAAATCTACTGGTTTCCTATCCACTAAGAGTGATTGAATTTAAGTTGTGAAAAGAAAAGGTAGTTTGCTACCAATGACCTCCCATAAAGGTTATTATGGAAGAGTATGGATTATCATAACATTATTTTGTTAATATTCATTTTCTTCAAAACTTTATCGATGTTTATTGTTTTGAAAATTTTATATTTATATCCTTCTCTACCTTCAGACTCTGAAGGCATACTATCTCTTCCTGTTGCTGCATAATCTAACACTTAGGGTTCATTTGATGACTAGACATGATTTGCTGTCAGAATAGTTCTCAGAGGTAAAAAGCAGGCAGGGTAGTTTTAGCAGCAGCAGCAACATCTTTGTATGGCTTTGTATAGTTCCCTTAATGCTTTTTAATCAAACTTTATTATTTAAAAAATGAAAAGGAAAATAGAAAATGTCAGTACCAAGTGTAATAACAAGATTGAGATAATTATGTTAAGAAAAGAAGTGGCAAAATTTTGGCTTTAATCAGAGTTGTCAGATGTAATTGACATCCTTGGGCAAAGATAGAAATAAAATGACCGAACCAATAAAATGCTCAAGGGCTAGACAGTGGCACAGTGGTAAAATACAACATACAGTGAGGCAATCTCACTTGGAAAGGTTTCTAATTCAAATCCATAGGTCTCCCAGGGTATGCCAGAAATGTGCCTGCCCATGATCCAGAAGTAGCTGAAAGCTAGGTTGGATGGTGGTGGCATCAAGACCCAATTGGGAGTGCTCATTGGCTTGCTTTCTCAGAAGAAACAAATCAACCTAAAGGTGCTAGTAATGTTATGTGCCAAACTTTTCTAAAAGGCGTGGAATCTTAAAAGATTATCATTTTTGGTTCAATAGTAAAAGAAAGTCTCTTCTAACATGCAAAATTTTGGAAATTGTGCCTTTATGTACTTTTGGGATCCATGACAGATGAAGAAGACTGCCGGGAACCATACTGCTTTCCTGTAGTGAGAGGTTTTATTAGATTAAAGGGAAATGTGTGGATTAAATACATCTGAGCTCTAACCACACCCAGTTGTCAGTACCAGTCACTATTACATTTTGTCACTGTTGCCTACCAATCACAGTGGAAAGTTTCTGACTTTCTGGAATGCCGGTCAGGAATAAGAAATAGATGCACTTTAATCTTTGAATTTGGAAATGCTAAATTTTTTTATATAAATATCCTGCTTAATTAATGTCTAGGGACAGCAGATGGTGTGGTGGTTAAGGCTCTGGACACTCATATGGCTGACTGTGGTTCATGTCCCACACCTGGTGGCTTGAAAATCATCCTGGGCACATGTGCATGTGCCTAAAATACCAAGAGGAGACTGGAGGAGAAGAAATTGCGGTGTGGACATCTCTCCCAGGGGGTGATTTCTCACTTTCTCTGTTGTTCTTTTTCTATGGTGAGCACACCTGCCCTATGACAAAAAACTTTTAAAAAATGTTGTATGATGGCTGTTTTCGGATGGTCGCTTCTTGGCAGAGGTCGCTTCTTGGCAAATCCTCTTTCAGTAATCAGGAAGAAGTAGGGGTGGTTTGCTCTCTGATTGGCATAGATATTTTCATCATCAAAATGGGATAAGTTATAGCTTAGTTGCTGTTGTAAAACTAAGAGAGAAGGGCTGGCCTCATAGAGTGGTGGCTAAGTGCTATGCGTTGGGAGCCGAATGCCAGCCACATGGCTGACTGAGGTTCCAGTCCCAGCCCCAGAGGCTTAAAAATCATGCTGGGCATATGTATGCATATGTCCCAAATTCTGATGAGATGGAGGAATGAAACAGAAGGAAAAGGATTGAGTCATGATTATGCCCCATTGTTGGGAAGTGGTTTCTGTCTGTCTCTGCTGGGCATATGTATGCATATGTCCCAAATTCTGATGAGATGGAGGAATGAAACAGAAGGAAAAGGATTGAGTCATGATTAATGCCCCATTGTTGGGAAGTAGTTTCTGTCTCTGTTGAGTGTGCACGCTCTCTGACATTAAATAAGTAATACTGGCAGTGGAAGT